GTGATTAATAAAATTCAATAAAAATACACGGTAAATTTTTTTTCAAACTCATGTGTAAAACTTACTCATAGTAAAGAAGATTATTAAAATTCTCAAGAGTAAAGATGAAATTTATATTTATCCTTTTCTTAACAAATTTAACAATTTAGTGATATCAATATAAAAAAAATACTAATTTTTTATATGAATTATATATATAGTAGTTCAGTTTTAGTGATTGGCAGTTTGATCTTTTAGTATGAATTTGTTTTCGATACACTAACAACATAGTTTTTTTAATTTCATAAACAAAATTAAAAAATTATCACATGTACTGTTGTCAATGGAGACGATCATTTCTCTTTTAACAAATCCAAATTCCAATCGAAACCAAATTGATCCAAACTCCAAGGAGAATAATTGACATTTAGATTGTGTTTGGTAATAGATTTCTACATACATGAATTTCTGTTGCAGTGTTGAGCCACCAGACAATTGACATACTTTCTTATATTCTTTTTGTGTAGAATGGATTGCCTATCAATGGATTGAAAACTTGTCCCATACAAAATCATGTATGGCATTCGTAATTTCTTGTACATTTCCAACGTAGTTGATTCTTTGTTGATTATATTAATCTATAACTGTATCAATTGATGTTGATTTAAGTGATAAGAGAATTTAATTTAATTTTTGCTGTCTTGAGTTTAAATTCGTTAAACTCAACATAAATAAATATGATTGTTCTAAAATAACAAATAATTTTTCATAAATTTGCTAGATTTGATATAGATAAACCTATTAAACCAATCCCATAGAAGATGTAAGACATGAAGTCTAGGGTCCACTCCTGTTAAAAAAACTATAAAACCAGTCTCACGAAAATCTAGATCCCAAAATAACATATCGAAGTATGAACTTGTTGGGTTATACCCAATGGCCCAATTTAAACACCATATTTATATTTGAAAATTTGTATATTTATATTATATTTATTTTATGTCAAATATATATAAAATAAAAAAATTTAGACATGATAATTTCAAATACGACATGATACTATGACATGAAAAAAATTATTTATGTATTTTAAAAAAACATATTTGGCATTTATTTGCATCGACATAAATTTTGATATACAATTTGTGTCTTATATATATTGATATATCTAAACACATGATACGATAAGAATTATACATTTAATTTAATATTGTCATACAAGTACATATTTAAAATGTTTAACACATTTAACATATTTTTTATATTTATTTTAATTTAATATAAACTAATAATGATTATTTTAATTTTTAAACTTTTAATTATGATACTCATTTAATAATTATTATAAAATTATTTTTATATTAATAATATAAATACAATATAAATATTAATATTAGTCTTATATATTATTATTTTATTCTTTAATATTTAATAGTTTATCATTTTGAATTTGATAATAAAAATGAATATAATTATGTAATATATATTAAATTTTAAATATATATTAAATACATATTAAATAGTATTTTATTTTTTATTTTTTTAATATGTAAGTATTTTTTTATATTATTGATATGCTAAGTTTATTAAGTTATAAATGATAGTTAGTTTATAATTATTTATTATTTTAGTTGTGTTCTTACACATATTCATATTAATCGTATCTATTCATGTATATCTGTATTAGTTGTATTTATTCGTATATATCTGTATTATTTATATTTATTTATATCACTTTTAAATATATTAATTATACACGTATTAATCGTGTCATGTAACGTGTAATATATATAATAAATATATCGTATTTGTGTTTAAAATTTAAACACATATTATAATTTGTATCGTATTCATATGTTAATAATTCGTATCATTACATATATCAAATATGACATAAAAACACAAATTACCAAGTCTAAACAAATTTATGTTATAATTTATGTCAACAAGTCAAATATAATTTTTTTTTTGTTTTTTTATCAAATCCATATAAAACTTTTATTAAAATTTTAAATAATATTATTTTCGTAATTTTTGTATTATTTTTATATTTTGTTATTGTATCATTTTTAAAATTGATAAATCCAACTAGCAATAAAGGAAAAAAAATCATTGCTCCTACTTGATTATACCTCAATCAGTGCTTACGAAGATCCATAGTTTCTCATTTTGTGCAATCTTTTTTTAATCAATGAACTTGATGTTTAATGTTCCTGGTGAATGATTCGTTGGAACATTCTGGGGTTACAAGAACTAGCAGCTAAGATTCGAACCTCTGACTTTATCTTTTTTCAGCATTGGCAACTATTATAACAAGTTTCCGAGGCTTAAAGATGGATTTGATAGTAATTATTTCGATAGATATGATAATTTATATATTTTTATTTATTTATTTCATGTTTAATATATATTAAATAAAAAAATTATTATATTATAATTTATGTCAATGTATCGAATATAAAATATATATTTTAATTTTATTAAATTCATATTAATTTTAATTAAAATTTTAAATCATATTATTTTTATATCTTTATTTATATTATATGATCATGTAATATTTAAAATTATCATGTTGATTTAATGCGTCAACAAAGCTTTCAAAGGAACACTCAGCTTCTAAGGCTGTTTAAATTTTTATATATTATTTTAATGTAAAATTTTAATATATTTAAATAGATTTGATATAAAATTATTATTTTTATTTTATAAAAATTTAAAATATATATAAGAATTAAGAAAAATATATAATTCGATTTAGTTTGATTTTTTTTTATTTTTTATTTTCTGATCCAAAATTCAATCTGAATTTAATATATTCATTTAATATTCAAACTTAATTCAAATTGAATAAAAAAATCGATTTAAATCAAATCAAACATTATAATTTCTAATCGATTTTCAAATTTTTATTTTTTTACTCCTAAAAATTATTATATTATAATTTATGTCTATATATTAAATATAAAATATATATTTTATCTTTATCAAATCTATATACTTTTTTATCATTTTAAAAAGTACTTTTAATCCAATCTCAATATTAAACAAGCCAAGAAAATTGTACTTTTGAGTCTATAGAGGTGGTTTATAAACCCAAATCAAAAAGTTTTTTCAAAAGGTAATTTTGTATTAAAAAAGTACCTTTAAAATAAAAAAAGTTATTATATTATCTCTATTTTATAATATTTTATTATTATATATATTTAAAAATATTTTAATTATTTATAGTATTCTTTACAATAATATCAAATATTTAAAAATTTTAGCTATATTTCTATTACCACACTTTTTAAACATAAATTTTTTTCTAACTATAACAACATACTAAGGACTTTGTTTTCAAAGAAAATTTTGTTTAATTACCCGCATGTTGTAACTCAGATGTAAAATAATTAGCTCGCAGGTACTTAGATAAAAAGGACATTGAAAAAAACCTTCAAATAAGGCGGATATGTCATCCTAAATGCATTTGTCCGTTTTATGTTTGCAATCGATTTTTATTGGATAAAATTTACATAAAAATTTTCAGTAAATTTTATTAAATTTTTATAAATAATTTAATACAAATTTAAATAAAAAATTCAAATTGATGATTAATAAAATTTAATGTGAAAATAAATAACATATTAAAATTATTATTTATAATTTAAATTTGATTTATACTTATTTAACGATAAAAATTTTATTAATATTTTTATTAAAATATTTGTATAAAAAATATTTAAAAAAATATTTAATTTTTTTATTTTATACTCTTTATTTATGTAATAAAAATTTTTAATTTATCAATTTTAATTTTAATTTAATTATTTTAAATAAAAATTTTCATCAATTTCACCTAACGAATTTTATTTAAATCTTTTCCACATTAGTTTGCCATTCAAGTGTTGTTGGCTTAAAAAGGTCTTATCGTACCAAGGTATATAAATAGTAAATTTAATTTTATGGTATATAAATAGTAAATTTAAATACCAATTAAAAGTTTCATAATCTTAGAACTTTGGTTAAGAATATCACACCGACGAAGCTAAAGCGACAGGCTTGCGGTGAAAATGGCGAAAAGGGGTGGACCAAAGAACCTCACCTGCGTTCGATTTACTCTTGCGTGCTGCTCACGAGCTTTTCATTTTCTTTTAATAAATTGAACTTGTTGATTAGCTTATAATATTATTGGTTAAGATGATATTTAAAATAATTAATGCTTTATTTTTTATTAAATTTTGTGAAAATTATGTATAAAAAAGAAAAAAAATCTTTTTTAAAATATAATTTTAAAAATAAAATCACATTTTTCTTATTAACGTATTTTTTATTAAATCTAATAATTTAAAATACGATTCAATGACGTAATATAAATAAAAGATGTGAAGATAACATAATTTAAAATTTTAGTAATAATTATATATAAGATTAATAAAATAAAGATATATATTTTATATTTTTATATTAATATGAATTATAACATATAATTTTCATATAAAATATGACATAAATATATAAAATTTAATATTTTACATTATATAAATATATGAATTATCAAATTTACTTTTTATCAAATGAAAATTCATGATAATAGCTGTCCAAACCTCCTAAGCAAATAATAATAACTATGCATTTTATGTAATTATTATTATTTATAAAATATAACAAAATTTGTTTGGAATCTTAAATATCAAGAAAACCTTTTTTTCCTAGTATAAAAATAAGGAAACTTCTTAGTTAGTATTGCTACCATTGCATGAAAAATTATGTCTGAAAAAACAGTAAACTCTATCCCTCATGTTCCCCTTTTTATATTTTATATTATATTATATATTATTTATATTATATTTTATGATAAAATTTATCATAATTCATATTTATATAAAATAATAAAAATATATTTTTAAATTTTTATTAAAATTTTAACTTATATTACTATATTTTTTAATATTATATAACATATTGTTTTTTAAATTATCTAATTTCAAAAAGAAAGCTCGAAACAAAATCTTTGCCCATTACCCCTCAACCGCCAACCAATTACTCCAACCAATTAAAAATTTAACCTAAATAATTTTAACCATGGTTAATTTTAACCCTAATTCCCCTTCCTTAACCATGGTCCATTTCTTGCAGTTAGGAGTTTAGAAATGAAATTCCCGTCTTCCCCCTCAAAACTCTTCCTCTCTCTTTACAATCTCATGATTTGTTTCAACTAGGGAAATCAAAAGAAGGCTTGGCTTGTTTCTTCTTCCGCTTTTTTTTTTTTTTTTTGTGAAATCAAAAGAGGGAATTTTTTTTTATTTATTTTGTGGTTTGGACAGTGCCCTGTGATTTTTCAACGCTCTTCTGCTGATCCCAAATTTGCTTTTCCATGTAAACTGGTGTGTATTGTTCTTTAATCTTGAATTATTATGTCAAATTGGCTTTAATTATAGCTTATTTTTTCTGGGTTTTATTTATTATTTACAAGTCAGTGAGATCTGAAGGGGGGGAATATGGTTGCTTTATGTTGAGCATGTGAAGAAAACCTCATGGTATTTGTTTCTAGTTTATCTAGAAATGCATTTAGATTTAATTTTTATTGTTTTAAGGGTGAGATTTGATCTGGGTATTTGAAAAAAAAATTGATCTTTATTTGTTTCTTGGGGTTTTTTTGAAGATGAAAATTGAAGTGGGTATGGGAGGTGGGGCTTGGAACGATGAAGATAAGGCTATGGTTGCTGCTGTTTTAGGAACAAGAGCATTTGACTACTTGATATCAAGCTCAGTTTCAAATGAGAATCTTTTAATGACTGTAAATAGTGATGAAAATCTTCAAAACAAGCTCTCAGATCTTGTGGACCGACCCAACGCTTCTAATTTTAGCTGGAACTATGCCATTTTTTGGCAAATTTCAAGGTCCAAGTCCAGTGATTGGGTCCTTGGTTGGGGGGATGGGTGTTGTAGAGAGCCAAAAGAAGGAGAAGAATCTGAAGTTACTCGGATTCTCAATCTGCGGCTGGAAGATGAGACTCAGCAGAAGATGAGGAAAAGGGTTCTGCAGAAGTTGCATACTTTGTTTGGTGGATCAGATGAGGACAATTATGCTCTTGGATTGGACAGAGTTACTGATACTGAGATGTTCTTTTTGGCATCCATGTATTTTTCTTTTCTGCGAGGAGAAGGCGGTCCAGGGAAGTGTTTTTCATCCAGGAAGCATGTTTGGATCTCGGATGCATTGAAATCAGGTTTGGATTATTGTGTTAGATCATTTTTGACAAAGTCAGCTGGAGTTCAGACTGTTGTTTTGATCCCTACTGATGTTGGTGTTGTTGAATTGGGGTCAGTGAGATCTGTTCCTGAAAGCTTGGAGTTGTTGCAATCAATAAGAAGCTCATTCTCATCGAATTCAGCATTGCTTAGGGCAAAGCAAATGGCAGTAGCAATACCAGTGGTGAATGAGAAGAAAGATGAAAATATAGATTTCTTGAATTTGAAGATTGCAGAGAGAGTGGAAGGCATTTCAAAGATATTTGGGCAGGATCTGAAGAACACTTCACATGATCATTCCAATTATCGAGAGAAACTTGCTGTTAGAAAGATGGAAGATAGAACAACATGGGGGGCTTATGCTAATGGTGGTAGGCTTTCATTTTCAAGTAATCAAAATGGTATCCATGGTTTAGGTTGGTCGCATGTTCATGGTTTGATACAAGGAAGTCCAACAGAATTTTATGGTTCTCAAAACGCAGCAAATAATTTTCAGGACCTTGTTAATGGGGCTGGGGAAGAGTTTTTACTTGAGAACTATCAGTCACAAAAGCCAGTCCAAATGCAGATTGATTTTTCAGGGGCTACTTCAAGGCCTTCTTCTATTACTCAGCCATTAAGTGTGGAATCTGAGCACTCAGATGTTGAAGCTTCATGCAAGGAAGAGAAGCCGAGTGCAGCTGATGAAAGAAGGCCCCGAAAAAGGGGTAGAAAGCCTGCTAATGGTAGAGAAGAACCTCTTAATCATGTTGAAGCTGAGAGGCAGCGGCGTGAGAAGCTGAATCAGCGGTTCTGCGCATTACGAGCTGTGGTGCCCAACATATCAAAGATGGACAAAGCTTCGTTGTTAGGAGATGCAATTGCTTACATCAATGAGCTTCAGGCAAAGCTTAAGGTCATGGAATCGGAAAGCGAGAAGTTTGGTAGTACTTCAAGAGATTCAGCAGGGTTGGATCCTAATCCAAATGTGGAGAATCATAACCGAGCTCCTGATATCGATGTTCAAGCTGCTCATGATGAGGTTGTCGTAAGGTTAAGCTGTCCCTTAGATACGCATCCTGCATCAAGATTAATCCAAACATTTAAAGAAGCACAGATTGATGTTGTCGAGTCAAAACTTGTTACAGCGGATGATACTGTGTTTCATACATTTGTTATCAAGTCTCAAGGATCCGAGCAGCTAACAAGGGAAAAGTTGGTTGCAGCATTTTCGCCCGGATCAAATCCCTGACGGTCATTATCATCTCTTGGATAGCACACAATTGCATTTAACATAGCAAAATTATAGTGAAGAATTTGATTGGAAGCTTCTTCAAAGGTTTTTTTTTTTTGGTTACATGGGAGGTCGTAGTGTGAGGAAAAGAGAAGAGATTGTAGGTGTTTTGATATTCGAATCCCAGACTGGTTAGATGTTACCTTTACGGGTGGTTACATGATCCAATTGAATTAATCTCAGAGTTTTTGTTCAGAGATTTTTTATATACATGAAGTGATCCTTAAAAGAGCAGAAGTGCCTTGTAGGAGTAGATATAACTACTACTAATTGACCAACTAGGGCAGCAAATTTTCTATGATTGTTTATATTATACATATACTGTCATGATGAGGTATTTTTGCAAGATGAATTAAATTTGTAAGTTTAACTAATTATGCTATTGTTTTTTTTTTTAAATTTCAGATTGTCAAATTTAACCTTTAGTAACTGAATTGAGAGTACAATATTTTATTTACAGATCATGCCGTTGATGGCCAATTATGCTAATGTTGGTTGTTTAGAAATGAGTTTTTTTTTTTTGGTTCTTTGCGTTGTTCTTTGCTTGTAATTAATTGAATTTAAGTTGATATAATATTAAATTTGAACATGAGTTCAATTTTAGATTTGAAGTTCAAAATTTGATTCGAATTTGATCGAATTTTATTTTTTTAATTAATGCTTCATTCGAAATAAAAATCAAATTATTCGAATTTGTTCGATTAAATTTAATTAACATAAAAAAATAAATTTAATTTTTATATTTAATAAAAATTTAATTATTTGTGTTTGAATTCAAGTTTGAAGTATTTTATTAATTAAAATATATTAAAATATAAAAATTTGATTAAATTTATAAATTACTCGAATCGAATATAAAAATATTCGAATTGTGTATAAAAAAATTTAAATTCAATTTGATTAATAAATCAAAATACTTAAACTTAAACTCGATTAAACGATAATCTAATCAAATTTTATTACTATTTAAATTAAATTTAAATAATTTATAAATATTAATATATCATTTATATTTTTAATCAAAATCATTACAAGTCAAGTCATACTAAAAAAATATTCATTTTCAAGGATTAAATATTGATTTATTGTAAAATCATTGAATAATATAATAATATATTTAATATGGAAGATGATTTTTTAGATATGAGGATTTGTTGTGAATAATTGAAATTATAAAATAATATATTATTTTAATTTTTATTTATAATTTTTTTATATATTATAAATTAACTTTTTTTTTTTTTTAAATCTGAATCCACCATTGAAAATATGCAAAAAAAAATCTAGCAAGGACTAAGCAAAGTACATATAAAAGGTTTTTTGCTGTGTAAATCTTTTTGTATTTTATTGGAAATAAACAAAACAATGGGAACTGCATAAAGGAATATTGAAGCTTCTTCATATGCACATTAAAAGGTGCGAAGAACCGATTCTCTTCTCAAATTCAAGGCCATCCCTTCAAATTTTTTCTCCTTTCTATAAAGGGTATGGAGGCATCTCCAGCTTTAATAGAAAAGAACACGAGGCTTATGAAGATAAATGAATTTACTACTACAATTACAGTATATAAATAGTTTCTAAAATAATAATAATTGATCAATCAAATAGACAAAATGTACTATGAACAGTTCACGAATATTGTTTGTTTATTAATTTTAATAAATAATTATGAATAATATTTTATGATTTGTTAATTAAATAAATAAATTATAAACATAATCTAATCTATTCATGTTTAATTTATTTATAAAATATTCAATAAACAAATTGTGAATGTGTTTGATTTTTATTTAATTATGTTTGCTTATTAAATTTAATAAATAATTCTAATTAAAATTTTAAAATTTATTAATTAAAATAATAATTATTAATATAATAAATTTTATTTATATTCAATTCGATGATATCAATAAATCTGAAGATAGAGCTTAATAATCCAATGGTATCCAGACTGTTCCACCCCCGTGAATGTGTTTCCAGCCAACCAAAGAGCAGTGACATTATTCACGTGGTAATTGTGTTTCCCTTCAGGTTTCTATGACAAAAAGGTTGAAGTTTGGAGCTTGATAAATCAATCCAAAAACTTGAAAAAGCCACATCTTTGTGTCACATGTTAGTACTCTCTTTTTTTATAAAATTGACTTATTGGAACATACAATTTCAATGCTTATATGTCAAATGATATTCCCTTTTCTATCTGACATGGGATGAATGTATTTTACTTAATTTCTTTGAACGTTTGGTGTAATATTTCTTCTCATTCTCGCTACATCTTTGGTTATGGTTCAGTACTTGACATGATTAGATTTTATTATCATGTTTTACGGTAACACCTTATTAAGTGGTCATACTGATTTAGTTTATTTATTTTGTTGGGGTTGGCATAAAATTGATAAGTTAAAAGTTGATTTTAATATCATTTATCACGTGATTATTATTTTTATTTTATAAAATCGACTTATTGAAATGTACAATACTAATGTTTATATGCAAAATAATTTTTTTTTCTTTTTTGATAAGGGATGAATATATCCTGTCTACTTTATTTGAACGCTTTATGTGATATTTGCACGTGTTTTTTTTTTAATAAACCAAAATCCTAGAAGCCCATGCTCGATCTTTGGCTCTGGACCTTAGCCCAGCTCACCAAATTATGGGAGTTCATAATTCAATTAAAATTTGATTAATTGATCAAATTGAATTAATTTGATTAATCGAACCAATCATAAAATTAATTTTGATAGGTTATGAAAATAATTTTAACCCTATATAAAACTAAGAATACATGAAATAAATAATTTTATTTTATAAATTGGTAGAATTTTTAATTTAATATTTTGTTATTTAAATATTTTATTTAGTTTACTTTAAATATGAAAAATTAAAAATTAAAAATATAATTTAACTTGAATATTTCTATTATTCAATTAATCAAAAAATTAATGAAATCGATCGAATTAATTGTTGAAACTAAAAAATTAAATTAGATTAATGAAAATAAAATAAACTAATTTAATTAATTTAATTTTAAATAATTTGATTCAAAATTATACAAATTAATCGAATTAATACTCTACACTAAATACCTTGCATTTCTGCCCAGGCAAATTTATTGGATGAGGGGCCACCAAACAAGTTTCAGGATTTTGCTGGTTTCATGGATTAATAGTGTTTATGGATATTCTCAAAAATTAAAAAATTAAAAATTTTAAAAGAAAAATTTTCTGTAACACTTAAAAAAAAATTTATAATATTTTTTCATCAATAAAAATAATAAATTTATCAATAATTATATATATTATAAGTAAAAATATTCGGAAAAAAATTTTGGATGAAATTTAGACATGAGATTGAAAAGCATTAGCACTTGATGATGGATCAAATTCAAAGCTTTCGTTTACCGAAACATAGTCGTTCAATTATTGTTTGACTCATTCTTGCAATAAAATCAATGTTGAAACTCGAAATATAAAATATAGAGTAGAGAGAAGCAAAGATTTGAATTTTACTAGTATTTATAATTTTTTTATTTTTAAATTATGATTTTATTTGTATAAAAAAATTAAAGATATAAATAAATAGATTGTTTTACAAATAATTTGTAAATATACTTGTTTATTCATTAAATGGTAATGATTAATTAATTAAACGAATAAATTATAAATATAATAAAATTTATTCGTATTCGATTAATTTTCATTTAGATATAAATAAATTCATAAATAAATTTAATTTTTATTTATTTATGAATAATATTTTAAAATTTATTAATTAAACAAACATATTATAAATTTAATAAAATTCATTCGTATTTGATTTGTTTATATTTTTATAAATCTATAAAATATATAATGCGGTTAGTAATATAGAATAAATGTAAACTTGGTTCAGTTTTGGAAAGACATACTTACAAGGGTCAAACACTACGCCAATTGGTCCCAACAGCACTCTGTAGATTTTTATAAGATGTTTAAGAAATTGAGGAAATTTTGACACTTCCATGTAAACAGGAACACCCGAACACAAAACGGCGGCGTTTGATAAAGCACGTTTTTGGCAAACTAGAATTACAGCAACAGACAATTCATACTTCATAAAGGTTATACTTTTATTTATTTATTTATTAATAAATTACATTTCCATAAATACATATTTTCATTTATTGGGAAGGAAAAAAAAAGATGTTTGTTCTTAAACATGAACTTAAATTTTGTACTTTTAGGCACAAGTTCGAGGCTAAAAAAATTATATATATTTAAAATAATTACATAAACTAATTAAATTAAAATTTGCATTTTTTATTTATATATTTGATTAAACAATAAATATATTATTATAAGCTCATAATAGCATTCAAATTTTTTTCTCTTAACAAAACAATATATAGTCAACATATAAATTGCAATGAAAGCATTTATAATATATAAACAATATATATAGTTTGTTTAAACTTGTAAAAATGAAACAACTAACCATAGCTCAAAAAAAATTAAAATATGAATTCAAAGTTTAATTTAATTAATTTATATAATTATTTTCATGAAATGATAGTTAATATATTTAAAATTTAAATTTAAATGTTTATTATTATTTTTTTATTTTAAATTATGATAATTTTATAAAATAATTAAAATATATCATTTTTTGCTAATTTCCCTTTCAAGTTGAAGTAATGTGCAACCCAAGTCACCTCTTTATGCCATTATTATTTCAATATTTCATAAATTTTCTAACAACCCACATTCAATAAATACTTATTGCAATTAGTAGACACTGTTAAAAAAAAACAAATTAAAATTATAATATTCAATTATGATTTTAACTCGAAGTCATATTTAAATTTGATAATTTATATATTTATATTAAATAAAATATTAATAATTTATATATTTATATTGTATTAACATAAAAATTATATGTAATAATTTAAATTAATATAAAAATATAAAATATTTTTTATTTTATTAAATTATAAATAATTTTTATTAAAATTTTAAATAATATTATTTTATATCTTATTTCGTATATTTTATATTGTATCGTATCATCGTAGACTGTCATATATACTCCTATCGTGTCCAATCCGTTGTTTGAATTTCCAAGAAGGTGGGGTCGAGGCATTGAATGTGGAAAGAACTGATAAGGATAACTGAGGCCACTCACCGCAAGAGATCCTGAATTGCTTTTATACTACATAAATACCTGAAAGCGGAAAGAAACCCATCTCTGCAGCCGTGACACCTGGAAATTTAGAGGTTCGAAACTATTTGATTTATTAAAATTAAATATCATAATTTAAAATATTATACGATGATATAATATAAAAATAAAATTTTTATATCAATATAATATATAATTTTGATGTCAAGCAGGACAAGAATAAAAGAAACCATGCTTTCTCTTTAATCTGAAACCGTTTGATGTTGATCAACTCTCAGAAAATTTAGACGGTGACAACTCTCTTTCTCTCTTCTCTTTTCTCTCTGCAACCAATGAAGAAAAGCACAAAAAAAGAGAAACACTAGGTTTTTTTTTTTTTTTTTGTTGTACAGATTCAATTCATTGTTTGTTCTTTAATTATCTCAAAAACTGACTCACCATTCCACAGGACTAAACAAAGAGCACCCAAAGTTTCTTTGGTATGGAATTAGATAGCATTGATTGTGTGACATCTTCAGATGTGATTGATGATGATGATGAGATCCATCATTATAATCATCAGTTGCCTTCATTGTCGAAGCCCCATAGCAACAATGGGAACAGCAACACTACCGTGTTGTCAGCGGTTCATCCAAGCACCACCAGTGTCCATGAACTCCTTGAATGTCCTGTTTGTACCAATTCTATGTACCCTCCTATCCATCAGGTCAGTCTTTAATCCAATTCCTTTAATGGGTTTTTTTTGTCTTTGAGAAAATTTTGTTTTTTGGGGTGTTTGAATTGTTTAAATTTGTTTATTTTATTGGTTTTTAATATTAATTTATCGGCTTTGGGTGATTGTTTGGGTGCACTTTTAGGGTTAGAATTAGGACTAAAGATTGGAGAAAGTTGTTGGCAGGGATGCTATTTTTCTTGGTATTTACTTTGTTTAATTGATTTTTTGCTTTGGGGTTCTGCTGGAGAGGCTGAACTTGAAGGGCATTTGATGGGTTAGAGGATGGCATGGGTCTAAAGTTGCATCTTTTGGGAATTTGAATTTTTAAATTTATGTAATTCAGTTTTGCTGGTTTTAGTGTAGAATTTTTGTAATTAAAAAAAAAAATTGTACTCTTTTCATTAAGACTAAGGCAGATATGTGTGGTTTCATAAGGGTGAATTCTTTGTGTTGGTTTTCTTATTAGACCTTTCTATAAATTGCTCACTGCCCCAATTTTAATTGATCAAAGAAGTGAACATGAAAATCCTTTCCTAATAATGATGAAATTTATAGCAGCTTTTCCACGAGTAGGATAACAAAGGAGCAAGTAGAAGAAGATGATGGATTGATCATATTATAAATGTGAGAAGTCAGCATTGCATTTTTTTAGTTTCCTCCAGTTGGTATTGCCCGTTACCTCGCCCCCTATGCATGACGATGTCTTTTTATATTTGACAAAGGTTTCCGATGCTGATTCAGCCTTTCAGATCTAGCGCAGGGAATCGTGGATTGTAAATGGAGGTGGCATGTGTAGCTGTTTGTGGTGGGAAGGGTATTAGAAAAGCATGGTTTTAAGTTTGGTTTTCATTTTCTCATTCTGGAGACGCTGAGAAGGGCAAGTGAAAGGGAAATTAAGGATCTTTTAAAATACTATCTGATCATGCATGTATAAGAATCCATGTATACTCCCATTAGAGTTTACTAGGATATTTGGGAGATGTGAAAATTTGAAATAGATGCTTTTAAGCTGCATAATTTCACAGAAAAAAGCATAGAATAGTGGCTTCATCTACACAATAAGAAATGCTGATAAAGATTGTGTTTATAGGTATAGTAATTAAGAGTGCCTTAGGTTCTGTTGTTTCTGTTCATCTTCCTGCAAGAATGTATTTCCTATGGTAAAAGACTTGACTTGAGATGGAGTATCATGTTGAGGTAAAGTGAATTCTGTGTATTTTTCATTTTCTTTCTTCTTCTCATGGGTTCATGGGCATATCATTAGCCTGCACAGGATTAGGTGGTTGGTTAAATAGGCTGCTGACCGATGATGCGTAAGGACAGCCTTTTTTTTTTCTTTCTTTCTTTTGGGGTTTAGGGGGTGCATTGCAGGAACTTTGGCACATGTACATTTTTGTTTAGACATGGTAGAATTGCACGTTTTTAGGTTCGTCTGTGTTGTGTGCTGATAGAACCATATTTGTATGTTTTGCTCCGAAAGTGGTGTCCCAAAGTCCAGTTTCTGTAATTTCACATGTGGAATGCTAGATTCTGTTTTCTAGACCTTTGGTTTTTGTGCAATAGAGTTTTTCAATGCCTTTGAACGCTACTACTGGTCTGGATTTCTCATTGTCTTATGTGGTGCGGATCAAGCTGCTTAAAATAATTTGGTACCTTATGAAAGGTGTTTTAACGATTTGTTGTTCCACAGTGCCACAATGGGCATACCCTTTGTTCAATCTGTAAAACAAGAGTACACAATCGGTGCCCTACTTGTAGACAGGAGCTTGGTGATATTAGGTGTCTAGCACTAGAGAAGGTAGCTGAATCACTTGAACTGCCTTGCAAATATACGTCTCTCGGATGCCCAGAAATCTTTCCCTACTACAGTAAACTCAAACATGAGGCCCTTTGTAACTTCAGGCCATACAATTGCCCATATGCTGGATCAGAATGTGCTGTTGTTGGTGATATTCCATTTCTTGTTGCTCATCTAAGGGATGACCACAAGGTGGACATGCATTCTGGATGCACATTTAACCATCGTTATGTGAAGTCTAATCCTCGGGAAGTAGAAAATGCCACATGGATGCTAACTGTAAGTACACTCATTCTTAAGCATTTTTGTTCCGATTAATAACTGAACTAGTTAATGGATGATGGATAAGAATAAACGAGATATGCATCTTACTGGTAATTTATTGCATCCTTTATGCATGGAACATGGTCTTTGACATTTCTGTGACAAGGAGTTGGAAATGTCTATTCTATGTACTTGAAAAAGTTAAGAGTTGTATATATGTTAGCCATACCCTTCATACAAGTGCTAGAAGTTCAACTAACATGCATGATGAATAGCCAATAATGTACAATTCTAACGATTAAGTTATGTAATGTTTATGATTCCCAAATTATAAAAAGTTGCCCATTTCACTGTTGGTAGTTTTTTTTTGGAGCCAGTGCCTCAACTTATTTATATTTTTTTAAATCAAAAGGGAAATTACAATGAAAGGATGCTTAGTCAATCTAGAGGCGGATTCAAATGATGTATTAGGGGCGTCCATGGACACCCCAAAGATGGGAAAACAAGAAAACTTGAAACAAAATTTTAGCTGGACAGCCTTCAAAAAAATCCTGAATCTGCCATTGAATCAGTCCATACAATAAGTCTGCATTCTTGTGCGCGCTTTCTGCCTTCATTGAATCAATTTGGTGCTTTAATTTTTTCAATAAAATGTATTTTAGACATAGATATGTGACAATGTAACCCTTGTTAATCTGCTTTGATGTAGATAATGAATAGTATGCTGTCGACATATGTTCATCGGCAGTTATTCAAATTTCCAGTCCCGAAGTCCCACTGTATACTACATCCTTAAATTTTCCTGTATAATAAATGGTTTGTGTCTTTTCTCATCTATGCACAGGTATTCCACTGTTTTGGCCAGTACTTCTGTCTCCATTTTGAAGCCTTCCAGCTGGGGATGGCCCCCGTGTATATGGCATTCCTTCGTTTCATGGGTGATGAGATTGATGCCCGGAACTACAGTTATAGTCTAGAAGTTGGGGGGAATGGCAGGAAACTGATTTGGGAAGGCACTCCAAGAAGCATAAGAGATAGCCACCGGAAGGTTAGGGATAGCCATGATGGTCTTATCATACTGCGTAACATGGCGCTTTTCTTCTCCGGAGGGGATAGGAAAGAGTTGAAGCTGCGAGTAACTGGACGGATATGGAAAGAACAGCAAAACCCAGAAGGCGGTGCCTGCATACCCAACCTTTGTAGTTAAAATGTCCAGTTGGATCCCTGGCGCCACACCCCATAATAATGTTTGCTGCACATTCTTGTAATATTTAATGGTAGCCTGCAGGTAATGTTGAGGGTTCTTGAGCTCAGTATGGATATTGGAGGTTTAAGCCTTTCTAAATCAACAATAAGCTTCCTAGCCTTTTTATAGCCAAAAAATGAAGTTATATGTGGTCTGCAAACTATGTTGTAATTGTTGAGAAATGCAATCTAAATCAAGTTATCCATCAATTTCTCTTGCAAAGCCAATCCTCCCTCCATAAAAAATTTTGCTCTAGTGAACAACTAAAACTGTGGACTTTTGGATTAGAAGAACTGATTACGTTTGTTTAATGGTGATTTAGACAGATAAAACATAACCAATCGATGTTTGGTTTAAGCCACAACAAGAATATTCCATTCTGAGTTGTCTGTCTTCGAATTTATTAGATTTAATGTAGATAAGTTTGTTGATAAGAGTTTGGAAATGGAATTTACTAGGTAAATAAACCTGTTTTCCTGTGAAGATATTAGGTTTGATGTAAATAAACTTATTTTAGATTGATATAAAATGGGATATATTAGATTTGGCGTAAATAAACATATTTAGATTAATCTAAAAATGAAATGTACTAACTAATAAGTCTAAAATTAATTCGAAAATGATATGAATTAGGCAAAACTTAAAAATTTTTTACAATTAAAAAAAAAAAGATAAGTGGTGTTAATTTATGTTTTTATGTCATATTTTACACGAAAATTATAAATCATAATTCATATTAATATAAAAAAACATGAAATATAATTTTGTTTTTTGTTAAAATTTTAACTCAGATAACTTTTAGTGTTTTTATTGATATTATTTTCATGTCATATCTTTTTATTATGTTTTAAATTATTGAGTTCACTTTAATAACGATATCATAATGCATATTCACGTTTCTAAAACTAGGGATGTCAATGGTAGGATATGAAAAAAGTAAAGTATTTTTAATATCTATTTTTTTATTTTTATATTATATATTCTCAAATTTATATGTAATAAATATTTTAAATTTAGCTCCATCTCTATTTTTACAGATATTTAATAAATATAAGTAATCCTCATACTCATAACTTAAAAAAAATAAAAATTTTTTTTTTAGCTTTTTTATTTTTATTTTATCTATTTAGATAAATTTTTATAAATATATATTAATATATATATTTTTAATAAAAATATATTAATTCTAATTAATTTAAAATAATAATTTATATTATTTAATAAAAAATCTATTTACTAAACATCTATAAATATATATGCCACGTATGAATACAAAACAAATACTTTATCATTCATTCCTGATTTTATATCCAATAAAAATTTAAAACCGTCTCTTTTCTCATTTTCATTTTTATAATGTAATACCATTCCGTATTATTTGGGTAAAAAATCTTCCCATTAAAATAAAAAATGGGATTGGAACTGACTATGGTAGATTGACATCCCTATCTAAAACTCCAAAAAGGGTTTAACATCTCCGAGAGTTTGAAAAGCCTCGCTTCACACTTCAAAGTACTGTTCTTTTTTTTTTTTTCTTCCGCATAAATCAGAAAATTTTCAACCTTTTCAAGAGCTCCAATTTTTGTTTAATTTCTGATGGAGCTTCGCAATCCTCTTCTTATCTTTGAAACCCCACGGCTTTTTTCCAGCTTCTCATCTTTCACTCCCCAACTTACCATCAAAACTTCCAACAAAAAGCCCCTGCATGGATTCCGCAAAACACCATTGTTTCCACGCTTCTTACCATCATCGGCTACCTCTGTTTTTCACGTCTCAGCTCATTTTGGTCGGGCAACGAGCCGCCGCAACTCGCTGAGGAAAAAGCTCCTGCTTGATCATCAAACGGTGCGTCAAAATCCCACTCCTTTAAACCCCACTCCTGATTTTCAAAACCCAAGTAGCACCAAACAGAGTGATGTAGATGAATTGAAATCAAAGCTTTTAGGTGAATCTGTTTTGTTGACTAAATTAGAGGATTGGATTGACCAGTATAAGAAAGATACTGAGTTTTGGGGTCTTGGGTCGGGTCCTATTTTCACAGTTTTGCATGATTTGGAAGGGAATGTAAAAGGGGTCACAGTTCATGAGGATGAGATTCTGAAAAGACTTGAATTTGAAGACATGGAGAAGTTGAATTCTAAAGTTTTGTATGCTAAGAATTTGGCTAGTGAGATGGAAAGGGGTGAAAATGTGATTCCAAGGAATAGTTCAGTAGCCGAGTTTGTTGTTTCTGATCAGGAGTCTAGTTTGGTTAGTGGAATTCATGGTGTTATTCTTCATCCTGGGTTCATCCCAAAACTCTCAAAGGTTGGGGGTTTGGTGCTTGGTGGTTTGGTTGTACTTTGGGCGGTGAAGAAGTTGTTTGTTCTTGGAAACAAGGAGGTAGAATATACAAAATTGGAGAAGGAAATGCTGAGGAGAAAGATTAAATCTAGGAAGGAGAGAGAGGTGTTGCAGAAGGGTAGTGTTGAAGTTGTTCAGACATCCGTTGATCCGCCTAGTGTGTCCTTTCAAAAACCAAAGCTGGATAGGCAAGAACTTAGAAATAATATATTTAAAGCGAAGGCGGCAACAGATAAATTGGCATTGCTTGATTCTTCTGGCTTTCAGAGTAGCAAATCTGTGGATGTTGAGAGTGAAATCCAGGAAATTAAAGTGATGGCCAATAAAGCCCGGGAGACTGAAGGTAGAGAGCAATCTGTGGTTGGTAAGGATGAAAAAGAAGTAAGCACCACAAACAATGAATTTTTTAATGAGATGCAGGCAATTGAAGCTGCAGAACAAGGCAAGGTTAGCTACAGAACTGTGGAGTCAACGTATCCATGTGAACCAAAAGATGATGGTGTTAAATTTCTCAATGGAGTAGCTTCTTTAGATAGTAGAGTTAGGCAAGTCACTGATGCTTCAATTGTGCAGTTATCAAAAGACAAGCAAAGCACTGAAGAGGATTTAAAAAATATGAAGAGTACTTTACCCTTATTAGTCAAAGAAGAAGTTATGCAGTCGCCCATTATTCCTGATAACGAATCGTATATTGCAAAGAGCCAGTTATCAAAAGACAAGCAAAATACTGGAGAGGATTTAAAAAATATGAAGAGTACTATACCCTTATTAGTCAAAGAAGAAGTTATGCAGTCGCCCGTTATTCCTGATAACGAATCGTATATTGCAAAGAGCCCATCTTTTGGAAAGAAACCAAGGGTCATACTGTCAGTCAAGGAAGCTAGGGAGTTCCTTTCCACAAAATCCAACAAAGAGTTTAACCCAGAACCCATGGTGAAAGATGTGCAAGAAAGTGTTCCTGGTTTAATGCTACCAAGTAATAAAAGATCAGGTAGAAGCACAAAGCAAATAACAGATGAAAACAACAAAATGTTCCCACATGCCATTTCCAGTGGAGAGTCAGAGTCTATGCCTTCTGAAAATGCTTGTCAGCATGCTATTCAGGGGGATAAAGAGTCTGTCCATAGTGAGGAAAATGATGAAGAATGCACAGAAGAGGTTCACCAACAACCTCCATTTTCTTCTCAAGAAAGCACTGGTATGATTGCAGAACAAAGACAATCAGTAAAGATGGAGAACTGGATAGAGAATAATTTTCACGAGGTTGAACCTGTACTCAAAAAGATTGGAGATGGATTTAGAGAAAATTACATGGTTGCCAGGGAGAAAGTTGGCGATCAATTAAATATGCATACAGAGATTACACAACTTTGCACTAACGAAGATGAAAGTGAACTTGAGTGGATGAAGGATGATAGACTTAGAGAAATTGTTTTTCAGGTCCGAGAAAATGAGTTGGCAGGCCGAGATCCCTTTTATTTGATGGATGCTGAAGAGAAACTTGCATTCTTCCAAGGTCTGGAGAATAAAATTGAGAAAGAAAATGAAAAACTGTCTCACCTGCATGAGTGGCTCCATTCAAATATCGAAAATCTTGATTATGGAGCAGGTAGATGTTCTTAAAACATAATTATTTCATTTATATTTTGTCCCCTGAAGAAGAAATAAGTGGCTTTAATTCTGTATGATATAAAATTAAATCTTTGTTTATAGCATCATTACTTTATGACTTATGATTCATAAATCCAGAATCCTTTTTAAGGCATAATACATGTAAATGCTGGACCAGCTCTCAAATGGTTTTGGCATACTGATTTTTAATTACTTGAGGTGTTTAGACATTGAAGTTAATGACACACTGATGCTAATAAAGTCTTTGGCTTTTCTTCTAGATGGTATCAGCCTGTATGATCCACCAGAAAAGATTGTTCCACGCTGGAAGGGGCCCCCATTAGAGAAAAGTCCTGAGTTTCTCAATAACTACCAAGAACAGCGAAAAGCACTTTTTACTGGAAATGGTGGTATAACATATCCAGCAAAAACTAATGGACAAAGTTTCCTTCAGAAATCTGCAGAATCCCCCATTAATGAAAATTTAGCTATTTCTTCATCAGAGTCAGATTTGAAGAGAAAATTCAGTGATGGTGATCCAAAAGATTCCAAGATAGTTGTAGAAGGCAGTGATGGTTCTGTCAAACCTGGTAAAAAATCAGGAAAGGAATATTGGCAGCACACAAAGAAATGGTCTCGTGGGTTTTTGGAATCCTATAATGCAGAGACTGACCCAGAAGTTAAATCCATCATGAAGGATATAGGGAAGGATTTGGACCGATGGATCACTGAAAAAGAGATGCAGGAAGCGGCAGATCTGATGACAGAACTTCCTGAGAGAAAAAAGAAATTCATGGAAAAGAAACTCAACAAGCTTAAAAGAGAAATGGAATTATTTGGACCACAAGCTGTTGTCAGCAAGTACCAAGAGTATGCAGAGGAGAAGGAAGAAGATTATTTATGGTGGTTAGATCTTCCACATGTGCTGGTAAGTGTGTCAATATGTGTATTATTTTGTGTCAGATGACCCTTGATTTAAGTTGCTTGTTTTTTTTTTTTTTTTTTTGCTTCTTAGTGCAAATACTAGCTTTGGTCTATTGAAAATGATGTTAAAGTTTTTAATATCATGATTTTTATGCTAGTTTTGTGGTTCCTGAAGATTATTTAGTAAGATCCTTGTGACCTTTATGTGTGCCACATGTTTCCATTGATGCACTTTTGGCTTGTACCATGCTTGTATGATACTGGTTGTTGATCGCATTGTAATCTTCTGTTCATGTGCTAGTGTATTGAATTATACACATTCGAAAATGAGGAGCAGAGGATGGGATTTTATGCACTGGAGATGGCAGCAGATCTTGAATTGGAGCCAAAACCACACCATGTGATTGCTTTTGAAGATACCGGTGATTGCAAAAATTTTTATTACATCATTCAAGCTCACATGGAAATGCTAGGAAATGGGCGGGCATTTATTGTTCCACAGCCACCTAAGGTAAAGTTCAGATGGATTCCACTGTGAAATATGGTGAATCATATTGTATTTAGCTTTGTGAAGAGTAACTTAAGCGGGATTCCCTGAGAAGAGACCAATATAGCATTCTTTTTTCCATAACCTGGAAATAAAGGAAGGGGTTGCAAGTACTGGACCCAGACTTACTGGATGCCATTTCTTAAGGGTGACTACATGAACCCACTGAGTTTAGTTCTGGGTTCAAAACCTTAATTTCTTTAAAAGAACAATAACATCGATTAGCCGGTCACACTGCTGATTATTAGGTCTTTAATCCCTTCTAGAAAAGCATATAGAGGTGATGGTGATTATATTTTCTTTTCATTTTCCTTTGTTTCTTTTGAGGTTGGAATGCTTCGTAATCTTAGCTTTTGATAATCTACGCTAGGATGCATTTCGGCAAGCCAAAGCAAATGGTTTTGGTGTAACTGTCATCAGGAAAGGAGAGCTAGAGCTCAATGTGGATCAAACTTTGGAAGAGGTGGAAGAACAAATATGTGAGATTGGGAGCAAGATATACCATGATAAGATGATGCGAGAGCGCTCTGTGGATATAAGCTCATTGATGAAGGGCGTGCTTGGTGTTAGTGGCAAACCCACAAGGAGGTAATTTCTGATCTTTAGTGTTTTTTTCAAAATTATGCAGTCCAGTATGGAATTTGACATTTGACATGGTTGATGATAGGGTTGAAAAAAAAAAAATGAAAAAACCAAAATCCAAAAACCAAAAGCCAATATGAAACCAAAATGTTTGGATTGGTTCAGATTGATTTTTTTATTTGATTCCGGATATTAAATGTTAAAATTTAATTTAGTTCAGTTTAAGTTAAAAGTCGAAAATATTCAAATTGAATTGAATCATATATTTTAAATTTATATAAAATAAAAATAATTATTTTATATCTAAATATATTTAAATATATTAAAAATAATAACACTAATTAAAAAAATTAAAAATTTTAAATTTGATGAACAACCAATAGAATTTAGTTCTTTCGGATCAATTTTTGAAAATTTAAAATATTATATATTAACTGAAATATTCGAACCGAATCCCTTAGCTGATGGGACAGCATAGATGAGTTATAGCATGAGTATTGTTTGGAAAATTACTGACATTTCAATGTATTCTTATTTCTTGTTAGAAGGAGGTCAAAGAAGAAGCTGAAAAGGCCTACCAAGAATGAAATACTCAGTTCTTACACCCAAGTGAGAACAGAGGACTGACATCAAAATAGACCACTTGAGAAGTTTAGGGTCATTGAGGTTTGAGGACTGCTTTGAATTCTTTTCCTTGGTCTCCCAATCTGTCAGCAAAATCTAACTGTCTGCAATTTTGTTGCAACTGGTGATGACAGAAAAAACAAGGGTGCTGGACTCTGATAATGTCTGAAAATTTTCCAACATTCGATTTTGTATGGCCTGTCCAGTAGCTTTATGTTCTCCAGAAATGATTGCCATTGAAGCTGCGTCTAGTGTGTGTCAGTCAGTTGCTGCTCAGTACCTATCCATTAGAGGCACTGACATCCTTGCTTGCTTTCCCTGAAAACTAAGCAGCTAGTACGTCAGCTGTCTGTAACCTATGGGGTAACCGCAAAACTTTCCTCTTTGTATCTTTCTCTGTAAATTGTAGTTGGTCTGCAATAGATATGACCGATCTGTCTGTTATGTAAAATATTGTATAATATTTTATGTTAAAATTACATATCACAATTTTAATTAATATGAAAATATAAAATATTTTTTTGATTTTATTAAATTCATATATAATTTTTTTTTAATTTTTAATTTTCATTTTTATATTATTTTTGTCATATCATTATGTTGTATTTAATATTGACAGATTTAATCTGTAATGACAATTTGATTATCTTGATTTGTAGTATCAAATCTGATACAATGCTTTTCATTAAACCCGTTGAATCCGTCATAATTGAGTTAATAATGATCGAATATTTTATTTATAATAAGAGTTAAGTAATTGAATTGAAAAAAATTGAATACTTTATCTATCTATAAGACTTATATTCAGTTCTTGTTACCGGCAATTTTTTTGATAAGTAATATGTAATCTGATGTAATTTTTTTTAAAACTTGCAATGTACTATGATTTTGAAAAAAAATAGTCTTCCTCAACTAAATTTTGCAGAAAAAAAAAACTATAACTTAAAAAAAAAAGAAAAAAAGAAAAAGAGATCAATGTCTTCTATTCGAGTTTCAAAAGACCAATAAAAAAATGTTGACAAATAAATTGAAATAATTGTGAATCAAGACCTCAAATTAAGAGGCATTTTGTTAAGTGCCATAAAAACTAGAGAATCACATGAAAGGTATGAAAAGAATATATCATTGTGCATTTCATAACCAGCATGCTGGGCATTTAAGGTCACATCATCTAGCAATGGATGCAAGGGATGAGAAGTCATGTGCAACTACGCAACTATCAACTATGAACCGGCGTTCTCTACAGACGTTCAGCACTTCTATGGTCATTGACAGATTCGAGATTTTTTTTCTGAAGTATCCCTCTATAGATATATATATATATATATATATATATATATATGAGAAGGATCAACTTAAATAAGTTTGGTGAAAGCTTAATAGGTGAGCCTGTCGGACCTGCTAGAGAGAAGAAGGTCAGGGGCACCAGATTTAGGGTTTCAAAACATGTTTTAACGCTCACGTCAGTGGAGTATCTTAGGGAAAGACTATGCATGTTAAGGATGAAAGAAAGAGTGCAGTAGAGAGAAGATAGTCTGCCTTTCTCCTAACCCTTTTATACCTCATGGATGATGACGTGGCTATCTGTACAAGTGGTGTTACAAGTAGGAAAGCTACTGAGATGGGAACGAAAATGCCGCATCTTCATGTTTTGATTATTGATGATTAGAGTACAGTAAAATCAGCAGGACATACAATCGAGCCAGAGTATTTTAAACAAGCAAAACACTGCCAAAACGATCTGATCAAAACTTGCCTGCAGAAGCAGTTCTAGGTTGCAACCAAGCAACCTTGACAGCATATACAAGCTACCACAATTCCAAGCATAGCTCCAGCAAGGACCTGCGATGGAGTGTGGCCAAGAAGCTCCTTGAGTTTTCTTTCACAGATAGGATGCCCTTGAAATAGGTCCTCAACAATCATATTAAGAACCTACAACCAAGAAGACAAATGATCAGAAGGTTGTCTGTTCGATTCATGTCGGGTTCAATTCCCTAAATGATCCTTTCCTTTTGCCAACAGTTGCATGATCTATTGGTAGAATGTTGGACTCTTAGTTTTAATGATCAAATTTTGGCAACCTCAAGACCAAAAAAACAAGACAACAAAAGTATTCCATGATCTGAACACAAACGACGATTCTCAAGGAAAGAACATCAAAATGTTGGGATATTGCATGTATAATTGTTAGATGAGGAAATAACATTCAAGATCCTGTTTGTACCCAAGGAAAAAACACATTAAATTAAGGCAGATATAAGTAGGCAATAGGGACACTGCAGCTATAGACCAGTGAAAAACAAGCTTAACCAGATGTTTTACATGTTTTTGTGCGATAGAACAAATGCAGAGACATTCATATTATTTATGAAACATTGATACGAGGCAGATTATGACAATTAACCATTATAAATTGAAGCAAGATGAACCTGGAAATTAGCTCAGTTGGTTCATGCAGCCAACCTAAGAAGTGACGTGCAACGGGTTTATGATTTAAATCTCAACACCTGCAACTCTTTCCCTTATCTCAAGGCTGCAGCCACCTTTTGTTAAAAAGGAAAAAAGTTGAAGCAATGGCCATCACATTTATTTCACAGATCCAGATACAATTGGCTGCTGATTATTTGAAAGTAAAGCAAATACTGCAAGTAAGAATCTATTCACAGCTTAGGGATAACTTCAAGCATCATTTATTGTGATAACATCTTTGCTTCTGGGATGGTTAAAAGAATCCATTGCAACACTTCCACTTGAAAGATCAAAATCATGGTATATGGGTCCAATTCAAAGCTCCGGTCACCCTGGGGAAAATTATATTAGGAAATCTACTTATAGAAGCACAGCTCATAATGCCATATACACTAGGGGTCCAGAAATAAATTGCACCCTCCGGTGCAGTGGAAGCCCTCCAATCGAGCTCCCAAACAGACTATAAGCATACTGTCTCCAAGGCTCCCACATCCATTTTGAAACGGAAATCCAATGGAAATAGTTACTGCAGAAATACCCTGTGGTGTTACATTTACCAGGGTCGATGTTAACAACTAGTCATTCACCCAGAATTTACTCATACTTAAGTGCTCAACTTTGGCAATGTCCATCTATGGTTATATTCAGATTTTTTACCTTAAATAAGGTTTAATTCCAACAACCACTCAGCATTAAAACAATTCTAATTTCAATGTCTAAAGGTTTTTTAAAGGTCTTAGTAGGGATGTAAATGAACTGAACATAATCAAACTTTACTATGTTAACAATTTGTTCGTTTAATTAACCAACCTTAAAATGTTATCATGATCATTTGTTAAGCTTAATACACAAATATAAACAAACAAAATCAAGGCTTTTTAAGAAATGTTCGTCCAATGCTATATTTATTTACATGCCAGATGTAAACGAACTGAACATGAATGCTCAAAAATATTATTTATGATAATTTGTTAATCTTAATAAAATAACCGAGCTTATTCACGAACTATTCGTAAAGCCCTATATGTAGGCCTTGAAAGATGCATCTAAAACTCAAAATCTTCAAAGTAAAAACCGTGAATAAGAATAATCTTTGCTACTTACCGCAGCTTGCATCCCAGCATGCCTTCTAACTCCAATGGCATCGTACATAACAATCAAACTAAACCACAGACAAACAGGAAACAAAGAGTCAGCTATTCCATGACAAATCGCCACTGATGTTGTCAAAGCAGTACACAAAGCAGAGTGTGAAGAAGGCATCCCTCCAGAAGCAAACAATATCCTAAAGTCCCATTTCCTTTCTATAAAGAAATTCAAAACCATCTTCATCGATTGAGCAGTAAACCATGCTAGCAAACCGGAAACAAACGTTGGGTTCGCCGCCAATGTTGCCACAAATGGACTGATTCGAACCTTAGCACTCGTCGTTACACTTAACAAAGCCACCCCAAAACCTCCATTTTGTAAGCAATTCCCATTGTATTGATCCAAAATTTTCTCAGATTCTGTGGTGTAATCGTCCAAACGTGAAACCCATTTCTCAGAATGTGCGAAGGCTAAGCCTTTGATGCTGTTTAACACTGGAACTATAACCAATATGGGATTCAAAGTAAAGCTTCGATTTTTACATACGGGAGTTGGGTTTATGGGATGAGAAGGAGATTTGAAGGACAAAGAAACAGAGGATGCTTTGAGTTTGAGGAAAGAGAAGTGGGGATTGAAACAGAAAGTGTTTGATATTGGTTTTATAGTGACAGAGCCCATTAAAAACGCTGGTTTTTATCAGCTTTAATTTTATCAGTCAGCATTTGAGAGAGAGAAAACAAGAAAAACAGAGGAAACGGGAAAGAAGAAAGAAGGTTGAAGAAACGAGTGGGTGACGATGTTTTATAGGAGATAGAAGCGTGCGGTGGAGAAAGAACATGGGTTTTGTTTGTTTCAACGAATATGCCACTGTTGCGCCTTTTTTTATTTTGTTAAGGCTACAAAGAATATGCTGGAAGCTACCGGCAACGAGCAGCCGGATGGACCAGTCAAGTGAACAAATTAAGGGCTCGCAACTAGGGTTGGGAAAAAAATTGAAAATTAAAAATCGATTTAAAATTATAATAATTGATTTAGTTTGAATTGATTTTTTTATTTATTTAAATTAAGTCTAAATATTAAAAATATATAATAGGTATGATCTAAAAGTAAAAACTCAAAATAAAAAAGAATAGAATTATATATTTTTATTAATTTTTATATTATTTTAAATTTTTATAAAATAAAAATAATATTTTATACCTAAATTTATTTAAACATATTAAAAATCATATTAAAATAGTATATAAAAAATAAAAAAAATTAAATTTAAATAACTTATGAATCGAATTAATAGAATTTGATTCAAATTGAATCATATGAAAATTGAGTTCAGAATCGAATCAAATTTTAAATACATTATTTGAAAAAATCAAACTAAATCTAATATAATTCAAACTATTATCATTTTTACTTAAAACTCATACAACATAAACACTGATGTAGATATTTTGGAGTATAATGACCTAAGATTTTTCAACCTAAAAGACATCATGGTGTTTCAAATTGAAATGACGTGGAAAAAACGATTATAGATATGCTTTAGGATGATGATTCACCTACCATAAACCAAAAGAGTTATTTCAAGTTTAATCATTTGAAGGGGATTGTGTATAAATATATAGAGTATTAGCAACATAATTTTACAAATTTTTAACTTTTTAAAGTCAAGATCAATTAATAAGATTATACAAACACAACAATTAGTTTAAGCTAATAGTATATTACCTCTTATGTCGATTTTACTTTGCACTAAGCAAGAGTTCACCAAATTTGTTTTAGCAAGCTTAGAGACAATGTCTAAACGTTCAGCCTCTAATGGTGATACATACAAATAAGGTGAAAAAACCTTCTCCAAAGGATGTGAAGAACTCAACACAGAAATTTTTAGCTAGCTAGATTAGTTGATTGCCTTTTTTGTATTTTCTCTTAACTGTTCTCAACACGTGAGATATTTGTTCTCTTAGAATGCTATAAGAGAATGGTGGCTTAAGTTCTTTATATAAAGACAAGGGGTAAGTCAAAACTCTAGGGTATTATGGTCTTCATGCTTAATTCTATTCTTAATAAAATAATCCCTTCACCAAGTCTTATTCTTAATAGAATTATTTACCTAGCCGGCCATACAATGTTTCATTTAGTATTGTGCTTTTGTATGTTTCTTTATATTCGATTTTAACTCAACAAATTAAGTTGTCTAACTTAATTTATTCCAATTTTAATATTTCATAACGTGTCCTATTATGTGTAACCCAATAAGTTCCTTAGCATGCTAGCAACAAACATAAGTATTGTAATCCTTATATTCAGACTTAGATAAATCAAACCTTTTGGCTTCATTAGTAATTCTCTAATTAGCCAATCTCATGTTTATATAAATAGTCAATGCTAGCTATATTGTCAAGACCTTCAATTGCTAAAGAAAATCGATGTGGCTTGACAATCTATCTGTATATGGTCTTAATGTATAATTAATATCCTTTCATCATTAAGCATCTCGTTTGAACATTGAGTATGGTTTATTATCTACACAATTTTTGTTTAATAATATTAAGTCTTGTTCTTGACATTAACTGGCAAAAAAGCTTTGGAACAATTTTAAACTCTAATTTCACTTTGACAAAGATTTTTTTAGTTAATTCAATCATTACTAATTGAGATACTCTCTTGATCACATAAGGTGATGAATCTCATCTTAATTACTTCATGCATTTTCATATGCCTCATGTTATACCCAATAATCTCGACTGGAGCACTATTGGTTAGAACTATAAGTAAAGTCAAAGTATAACAATCATCATATAAAATCATAAGTAATCTCAAGTCAAAAGATCACTTTCACAACCATCATATGAAAATATAGCTATAAACACTATGTAAACTATCATATAGCATTCTCATTTTGAGTCATATTTAGTAAACTTGTTCTTATAACAAGCACCCGTATGTTAACTCAAGTTTACCTAAACTTTAACCTATGAGATTGGTTGCTTACTTTATAAGCAAGAGTATAACCATATATCAGTCTTAATAGCTTTTATAATATCCTTTTTTTGACAAAGTATCGACTAGTAACAATTTAGAAATATTGCTTTAATGCAATGATGATCTCATAATTACGATCTCATTATAATTCCTTTACAAAGCATATTTATTCTAAAGACTTTATCTAAAAGAAATAAGTAATATTAATTATGTATATACATTCTCGTAGATAAAGAATACCTTTGATAATAATAGAAATGCATAATATGACATGTAATCCATAGCGAATCCAATTGGTCTTAAGGCATATACCAGCAATCTCCCACTTGTACTAATACCAATCGTCTTGGTATCTAACATAGAACACTTTCATGTAGCAATCATGGTAAAGTGGTATAGTGAAAAGATGTGCTAGATTTATTCTTTGCGGGAACTTGTTATACTTATGTACCATTTTTCTTGATTATCTTTATAATCAAATGGTAATGCCTCAATATATATTTGGATCATTTTTTAGACCTTGATTCCTGTCATTTATACAATGGCCCCATTGTTCTCAACAATGCTTGAAATTGTAGGGTTCAACTTTTGAACTTTTTTGATCCAAAATTCTTCTTTTTGCTATCTTAAAGAAAGAATTGTTTTTGGCATAGATTTATAGAATTAATGGTCATATTATATTTGAGACTCTTTCAAACTAATTTTTTATTATATAGAGTAAAACATAATCACTTTGTAACTTGCTATTATCCTTGTCAAATGATAGCTAAATGTGAAGTAACCATCTATAATGGTTTTCAGCTTTTTCATATACTAAAACATTTAGTATAGATAAGTGTCCTTTTGCTAAACTCTTTTAACATCTTATCTATTTGTGTGCTATGTAACATAGGCAAGGATTTACTTTTAGATTTCATTATGCTTCACTACATTTATGGATTATGAGAGTTATGCAACCATTTGGATTTATCTTTATAGATCTTTATCTTATTATGTGTGTTGCCTTTTTTATATCCAATATGGAAATCATCTTTGGATAATTTAATTTACTATAGATTGTAGCATATGTACTTGGTTTCTAACGAGCTATAAGTCATTCATAAAAAGCTTTATCAAAATGATTATACTCACACTAATTTCTTATACACATAAGGTTCATCCTAGTATTTGATGATGTTAAACTTTTTTTTATTATCTCATAGAACTTAAATGTTTCATCTCCTTTTATAGTCCCATCATGTATGAGAATACATCTTTGTCCATAAGAAATCTATATTTCTTTGAAGATTAATGTATCCTACTTGTTTTTTAGAGTTTATGTGTACTTTGAGCTTTCGACTGCACACTTAATACCTTAGTCTCTAGCCCATGTTCCATTGAAATGCTTAGTTTGTGTTCTTGAACTTTTCAAATTCAACTTTACTCCATTACCTTTTTCTAGAATGAACAATTCATTTTAGAAAATGGCATACAATGGCACAAACGTCTTTGTTCATTGTGATTGTAGAATTAATATTCAACCTTTTGGATTTTCACAAACTTACATTTATTCAACCAAACTCTAAGCTTATTAGAAGATGCATACTTCATGCAAGTAATACATTTTCCAAATCTTTTAATTATGACATGTGTGGCATCTTGCCATTCCATACCTCATATGTTAATTATGCTTAGTTTTTGTTCTTGAACTTTTCAAGTTCAACTTTACTCCCATTACCTTTTTTTAGAATAAACAATTCATTTTAGAAAATGGCATACAATGGAACAAACATCTTTGTTCATTGCGATTATAGAATTAATATTCAACCTTTTGGATATTCACAAACTTACATTTATCCAACAAAGCTTCAAGCTTATTAGAAGATGCATAGTTCATGCAAGTAATACATTTTTCAAATCTTTTAATTATGACATGTGTGGCATCTTGCCATTCCATAACTCATACGTTATCATGTCAATGGATTTGGATGGAACCTCTATTTAGTAGGTAAATGGCGATCTCTACGGTATATCCCTCAAAGAAGTAGGAAGATTATATATCAATGATTGAACCATGTCCAACAAGGTTTAGTTTTTCCACTTGGAATTGTTATCTTTGGTTGTAAAGTTTCCAATGAAGTTCACTATGAAAGAATCCAATTCTTTTTCACATAATCCAAAGTTATTGGCTTAAACTCTCCATCTTGATCAGATCTTGGTGTTAAGATACTTTGCCAATTTTATTTTCAATCTCATTTCCAAATACTTTAGATCTTTCAAAAGATTTAGACTTATACTTTACTAGATTCATATAACCATACCTTGAATGATCTAAAGTGACTGATAGTGAAATAGGAACATTTTCTTTTTGCAATTTAGATTTACTAAATAAAATACATTTGAATGTATAAGTCCAAAGAGCATACTAGCTCTATCTTTTTTTCAAGTAAGAGGTGATTTGATCATTTTCAAAGCAAACATGATTCATAAGTTTAATAAGATTCATAATAATAAGGATCAAGATATCCTTGATTATGTAACTTTGTGATTCTTATTTCTTTGGTATAACCAAATCTACAATGCCACATATAAGATTAATTTGGTTTATCTAGTTTAGTTTTTTCTTAGCATTTACATTGAACATTTTGATTTTATACTTTTCTTTAATTCCTCAAATTTGTCATACAAATGAGAACTTTATTTAGTATCTAATACTAATGAATTAAAAGTTTTCTAAATCATAAATTATGCTTGAAGTAAAAACTTCACTAAATTCCTTCTCATTCAAGCTTTATTAAGTAAAACTCTCAATTTTATCTTCCAATAGCCTATCTTGTCATCATATAACAAGTGCCCTTGTTTTTGTCATTCTTTATTCTACCTTTCAACTTAGCAACTTATGATACTTTGCTTTCTTCTTAATCTTAGAAGATGAAATAAGAACAAAACTACCTTTTTTGTGTTGCTTT